GCTTTAGTTTGATTTGCCACCTCTTGTTTCTATTTTCCTTTTTTTTTCCGTCCCACTCTCTGACACCAATTTGTTACGTCTCTGTTCGTTTGCTAACTTTCCATAGAAATTCTTTCCCAGAAACTTGAGCGATACAAGTCCTTTTTTAATTAAAACTAGTTTATTTTTTCTCAATACAATTTGCAATACACTTAATTTCCACAGTCACTTTACTTAAACATACGCTATAATTCACAACGAACGTTTCACGCACTTTTCTTACAACCGCGATTGACTCAATTGTCCGTCTTTATCTGTCTGCAATTATCTATCTATCTCTGTCGTCAGTTCTCGCCGGTCTTATATATACTAAATAGAGGGCGTATCTAGCAAATGCTATGACGTTCAACATATTCCTCGATCTTTCTAGATACTCATTACGTGTTACCAGAGTCACGTGACTTCCGATGTCGTAACAAACGTAATTTTTATGGCTTGGATATATTCAAAGTTAAAGGGCAAAATGTATTTTCTTACATTTATGCATAATATTTAAGGTAGGAAATAAATGTCATGACATCTGTTTATAATCAATTATGTGGAACATGTTTTAATAATGTTCTTTATAGTTTCATCACCACTACGTCTTCAAAATTTGAAATTTATCTGCATAAGAAATGGCCCTCTGTTGGAGTGTTTATGCGAAAATTAGTTGTAGCGCAATCGTACATCCCATTGCGATGCGGAGAATTGTGGTTATTGAACAAAAGGATAATCCTATGTTGAGATGGGATAAATTACAATTATTAATTTGGAATACAATAATGCATGAATGATTCGAAAGAAGTTCGTTAGATTTATTTTAGCATTATATTTCTAAGCCGAAGATGTGGAAAAGTGTAGCTCTGTATTACGATTGACTAGTACGAACAATGTTAACCTGCACTGTTGCAGCAAGTTGGCTCAGCTTTGTTATTGTACCAAAGTTTCAAAAGTAAAAAAGTGTACTTTGGCCAGTGAGTTTTAGTTGATACTAGATGTTTATTGTCATAACTGACATTAGCAAACAGTTTTATTTGATGCAAATCTAATACTATTAATAGTAATACTGTAAATGTAACATCGAGAAGTATCTCACTACAATTTGCAAACAGTACTATTTTTACAGTAAGGTGATTTACATTCGATAGACAAACCACATTGTGTCTGTGGTGCTTTAATTTTAATTTCATTTCACAGTTACAGTGAAACATTTGAATTGAGCTTGTAATTGTTTGTTTCATTGGAAGCCCACCCATCCCCCAAAAAAAGCCATGTCATCACGAGATTTTTATTATAGTAGATCTAGAGGAAGAGGGAGAAACAGGCCACCTAGAGCTAGGGGGTTTTATGCAAGGGGAAGAGGTCGAGGAAAGGAGCATTATAAGTCTCATGGTTATGAAGATAAATATTATAAGCATGGTAAAGAAAGATATGAAAGTTCAAGAAGAAGACATGATAGGAAGCGCTCATACTCACGAAGTAGATCTCGGTCTCGATCACGTAGTCACAGTAGAGATAGCCGTATTCATTACTCTCACAAACGTTCAAGAACTAGGTCCTATTCACGTTCTCCTTCCCACCACAGGAGTCGTTCTCCTCAATCATCCCATGGTAGAAGTCATTCTCCCTCCTATAATAGAAGTCGTTCTTCACCACAACGCCGAAGTCAATCTCCTCCATTATCCTATCATCGCAATCGTTCTCCATCTTATTGTCAAAGTTATACTCCACCCTCACCATCTAGAAGTAAGAGATCAAGGGAAAAGGAAGTGGATCGCACACCTGAACATCCTCCAAGGAGTAGGTTACAGTCTTCACCAGAAGAAAGAAAATATCAAGAGGTGATTGTAGCTAACAAATGTTTTGTAACTTTATTATCAATATATGCAGTATAATTTTTAGAAATTGGTTACATTAGAAAGTATTGGTGGACTAAGAATAAAGATATAGATATATATTTTGAGGACAGCATAAACTGTACAGAAATTTTAATCAGTTTCAAGGATAATTAGACAAAGTTGTACTTAACAAACAATAGCAAGAACTTCAAGTACATAAGATTATATTATTAAATTTAGTTTTAAAATTGAGTAATATTTTGCTAAAACTTAAGTTATTCTGCTGTAGTAATTTAAGTGTTTTGTATTTTTTTGTGCATTGTGTTGAGGCTAAGAGATCTGTGCTAAGGAATTGCAACACAGGTAATAGTATCAAACTCAAAGAGATTTGAAACTGGCTGTTATATAATGTGAGAAAGGGGGAGATTATGAAGTGTGTGTGAAGTAGGGCAATCTCAAATTAAATAAGCAGTTATATAGTTTTATAGTGGAGTACAGATAAAACTAGAACTAGTAGAAGCAGAATTTGAAGAACACAACAATCACTAATGCTTATTGGGCCTGTGCTGTTTGTAATGGGAGGTCAAAATAGTTGAATGTATTTAGGAAGTAAAGAATTGCTGCAGAGTCTCAAGGATAGAGTCTTGTACAATTTGTAGCCTTTTCAGCTCTTAAATAAACATATTAACCACCAGAGGCATTGCTAAGCATTGGCACACGAGGCTCGTTCCTTGAATCCCCAGTTGGTGTCTTGAAAAATCAGAATAGAAAACCATGATCGATATCATACTGAAACGCGAAAAATTTCCACACCTATGGGCCCGAGCTCCAAATCTTTTAAGTACTTAGCAATGTCTCTGTTAACAACAAAAGACCATTTAGTTTTGGCATACCTGTTCTCGAGGAAAAGTAATTTTAAACCTATACTTCATTTGTTAGGAATTATTTTGTTCTTGAACTGGGTAATGAACACAATCAACATAATTAATTACCTATGAGTTTTGATTACATCAATTAGTGTCATGAAAATAATCAACTGATCGAAATCAGGGTTTCCAATTATAAGTGTTTTAGATTATTCCAACTAACCAAGTAATCAAAATATTGCCATTATGAGTTCTCATTATTATTTTCAATTAATTCAAGGCTGTTTAGTTGAAACAATTATCATAACTTATGTAAATAATCATCTAATGGAAATATTTTGTTTTCAGAATTCCTAATACATATTGGAGGGATTTAGATATTTTGACAATAAGTTAGAAAAAATGATGAAGCCACAATAGTGAAGCATTGGCTAAAATAATCAACTAATCAAAATTAGTATGTGATTATTATTGTTTTTGATTATTCCAGCTATTCAACTCAAGTAAAAATACTCAAATGAATGTAAGCAGTTAATAAACCTGATGGTTAAAATTGCCAAAAAATCCTAATTTGTTTCTGCTGTATTTTGTAACAATTGGAAAAAAGTTGGAGATTTGAAAAAGATAGGCTATACTTCAGTTATGACAGTTTTTGTCTAACAGAGTGATTGGCTTATGGAATGAGTTGTGGTCTTTAATATGGGATTTGTTGATTTTCTAAAAAATAAAGGGCGTGTTTCAGTTTTTGCTTTTCTTAAGGTTGATTGTGCAAGGACAACTTTGAAAGAGTAAATGGCAGGGTTTGCACAAGTCATGAAAATCCTGGAAAGTCTTCACATTTTATAAAAAAAATCAATATTGTAAGTATGGAATATCAGTGGATTTTATCAGAAGGTTTTGTAAAAAGACTTTGAAATCTAACCCCATTGCTCATATATCCCTCATTTTTACTGATGACAAGCCACACCATTGTGTTTATCTCAGTTTCATGATCTCTAGAAAACGTTACCCATAAAATGGGAAATATGCTGATTTTACATATATTTAAGTCAGCAGTTTCTTGATGTTATGGTGGTAGTGAAAAGTAATTTGCATTACTGACAAATGAAATGCTTATATTGGACTGTGTTACTGAAAATTCATGCTGTTTGGGATACTAAAATTGGGATTTTGTGAGAGTTGAATTTACTGATGGTAATATATTGCAGTGGTAAAGTTTTCATTGCATAGTAGTTAATTCTTCAATCAGTAGCAGCATTGTACGATAGTAGTCCATAGCATTCGTATTTAGTGATGTGCATTCCAATCACATTTGTCAGTTTTTGGCAAACTGTTATGAATCAGAAGGATAGTCAAGTTTTTCCTAATGGTATATGGCATGTCATACGACATTGTATAATTACTGAAAAAAGTTGTTATGAATAAAGAAATAAAGTTATCACAAGGACCATAAAATAATGTCAAGTGGATTACAAATGACACAGAAACTTTGGCGCTTTCAATTACTTGTTTGTTCTTCTTCAGGACTGAAAATGGTAAAGGTCAAAGAGTGTGGGGCAATAGATATGAAAAACAAGTACTCATCACTCAAGCCAGAAGTGTTTGTCAAGTTAGCAAAGAAAACTGACTAATTCTGATTGAAGAAGAGTGTGACAATAGGCAGTGAAAATTTCAAGGCTACCTTGACAAACACTTTCTGCTCACATGTGTACCTTTTTTTTGTATTTGTTACCTCACACTCTCTAACATTTACCATTTTCACCCCTGAAGAATAATAATGACAACTATTTGAAAACACTTGAGTTTCATAGTCTCTTTGAAATTTGGATTAAAAAGTAGTGAGATGGCATGTGCAAAGGTGAGAATAATTTGTGTTTTTTAAATCTTTAACTGTTACAAGAACTATATGTGCATTAATGATGGATGACAACAGTTTACATTTCTTGGTGTTCACTTAATCTGATCTATTTCCAGTTTTTTCTAATAGTCAGAGTTGTGCTATTTTAACATAACATAATGTTTTGGTACAACAAGGGACTCGTAGGTCCATCTTAGTTATCTCAACCTCTAAACTAAATTATTAAATATTTGAATTAAAAAAACAACCTTAAAGCCAGCCCTTATCATTCATATAGTTATCAAGTTTCTCTTAAACTCACTTAAATTTACTGCTTCCACAATATCCAAAGGCAAATAATTCTAAAGGCTAACCACCTTGTTTGAAAAATGAAACTGTCTTAGCTAAAGATGACTCCTGCCAAATTTTGTATTTGTGTCCACCCTAGTCTTACTATTCTCACTGTTAAATATGAAAAAATATGATGCATCAACACTATCAATCCCCTTTACAATCTTAAACACCTCAATCAGATTTGAGAGATTTCAGCCTCTCCTCATACAACAATCCCTTCATCCCAGGCACCATTCTAGTAACCCTTCTCTGAACTCTTTCCAACAACTCAATGTTTTTCCTAAGGTAAGGAGCCCAATACTGAACACATATTCCAAATGTGGCTTAACCAGTGACCTATACAATTAAATTATAACTTCTTTAGACTTGTATTCAATGATTCTCTGGATACAATCTAAAATTCTATTTGCCCTACTACTAGCAACAGCACACTGTTTGGATGGCTTTAGAGACTGATCGACTATTATACCAAGATCCCTTTCCTTCATTACACTGTTAAGGTTATTCCCACCCAAATTATACTTACTATTCAAGTTATGATAACCCAAGTGCATTATCTTGCATTTGTCATAGTTAAAACACATCTGCCATTTATTTGCCTAACTTGCTACATGATCTAAATACTTTTGTAAATCAGCAGCATCCTCTTCACAACAAGCAACACCCAAGACCTTAATATCAGCTGCAAATTTAAGTAATTTATTGACCATACCTTCATTTATGTCATTGATGTATATCAAAAAGAGCAAGAATCGTAAGACTAAGCTGTGAGGTACCCCACTTGTCACATTAATCCAGTTTGACTGAACTCCATTTGTAACAACCTACTCCTTTCTTCTTTCCATCCACTCTTCTATCAAATTAGATAACTTATCCCCCACATCTATAGAGATATTTTTTTTTACAAGCCTTTTATGTGGCACTTTGTCAAATACTTCTTAAAATCCAGATATACCAAATCTACCTATACCCATACCCTCATCTACATAAGTAGTAACCTTGATATTGAGGTGATAGTGAAAAGTAATTTGCATTACTGACAAATTATATGCTTATATTGGACTGTGTTACTGAAAATTCCTGTTGTTTGGGGTACTAAAATTGGGTTTTTGTGATAGTTTAATTTTCTGATGGTAGTATATTGCAGTCGTAAAGTTTTCAATGCACTGTACTGAAATCCTCAATCAGTAGCAGCATTGTACAGTAGTAGTCCCTAGCATTTGTATTTAGTGATGTGCATTCCAATCACATTTGTCAGTTTTCGGCAAATTGTGATGAATCAGAGGGATATTCTAGTTTTTACCAAAAAATGCAGAAACTTGAGAAAAAGTATTTGCATAATCAAAAACAAACTCTATGTATAAACAGAGATGATGGGCCAATCAACATGTCCTACTGGAAGACCTGTTTATCTTAAATATTCTAGCACGTCTAACCCTCTATCTCTTGATCTTGTTTTTCAAAAATGAACTTGTCCATTAATGGTTGGAACTAAATTCTTACTTAACAGACACTAGAATTTTGCCCTGATGATGGTAACACGTTTACCAAAACTAGTTGGCTGTAAGTTATATTAAATCATTTTACTAATTATTGTGCTTTTTGTAATTGTTACTTTTAATATACCAGCACAATGTGCCTTAAATAGAATTATAATTTGGACCCTATAACTAAATATTTTTAATGGATGGTTGGGACTAAATACAGTACTGTGATGTATATTATTAACATTAATTGTCTCTTTGTGTTCTTTATAGTATTTTCTTTCAGATTTCAAATGAATATAACATTTAAAAAACTGGTTCACGATTTTACTTGTAATCATCATACCCCTTGATGACAGATATGCATGACAGCATTCTTGATAATAAGTAAAATAATTCCATAAAACTGTTTTAAATATTGTTTATAAGCAGGTATATGCTATCCTACAGAAAAACTTATAG